AAAAAAAAAAAAAAAAAAAACGGAAAAAAAAAAATCATTTCCGGGTTGTTTGTTGAGGGAACCCCGGCCTCACCTTTTATGGTTTGCATAGAGTGACTTGATTATTAAAAAAAAAAAAAAAAAAAGGATTTTTTGTGACGTGGGGGAAAAGTAAATGGAAAACGGGCAAAAAAAAAAGAAATGCAACACACGAAAAAAGCAGACTTCAGGGGGCAGCCGAAGTCCCTAACCAACTCCCCCCAAAACCAAAAACGCTTTGCTATGCCATTAAACCACAAGTACTTGGCCCAGCTATCAGCCGCGGACAAAAATAGAGTAGAAGCTTTTCTAGTCGGCTGAATTGGGGCCCTCCTGTAGTGGCCCGTACGTTTCCTAAAATTGTGGCTTGTTAACGGTCCCAATTTTAGGAAGTACTGGTGGTTTAAGTAAAACAATGTTCAGCATGCCGACAAAGTTAATCCATCACTTACGTCTGAAGATGGCCTTCATAGAATCCCTGACGAACCAGCACGACGTCATCGCTGTGAATCTTGCTCTGTCTACAATATACATCAGGTATGAGAAGACGGAGACGTGTAGAATGTGCCATTGCGGCTGGAAAAAGGACTCCTTTTCTTCCCTCCAAGAAGCACAAGGGTTGGGTTTTCACTCCTGCTCCTCTTCACATCACATGCCCCCCCCCCCCCCCCCCCCCAGAAACAGTCAGTCAAAAGTGCAAACCATGAAACTCAAGAAACAGTGAGTTTCAAATTCAAAAGACTTTGGTTGTCAATTCAATTGTTTGCATGATTGTAACTTTTCAAGTCTTTTTTTTCGATTGTTTATTAATATTTATATTTAGTACCCATAATAAAGCAAAAACCCAGGTGTGCTAGGGCCAAAAGGACCTGTTCAGGGGGGGAAAAAAAACAAAAACAGGTGTGCTGACTCATCACTGCAAGTGTGCATCATAGAATCGAGAACACCACTCTAATATTAGTAAACTTAAAATAAAAATAATAATTAAAAAAAAGCAGTAAAAGACTAAAAGTTGTAAAACTGAGTTTTTGAAGCTTACAGGTCACACTCAATAGAAGAAGAAGAAGAAGAAGAAGAAGAAGTAGAAGAAGAAGAGGACGAAGAAGAAGAAGAAAACGAAGAAGAAGAAGGCGACGAAGAAGAAGAAGAAAACGAAGAAGAAGAAGAAAACGAAGAAGAAGAAGAAGAAGAGAGGAACTTACAGCTTCTACTGTTGCGAGCAATCATTACTGCAATCAGGGCATGTTCAAACTAGCACTTTCTTTAACGTACTCCCTCCTCCCGCATCTCCTCTGTGCTGCAAGCGAAGCTGTGGTGAGCAACCGCTTGTTTAAACTTTAAATAGGACACCACCTTTTTTTTTCCCCTTTTTTCTGCAATCTGGACGCAGACCCAGGCATTTGAACAGAGATCTGGGTGAACCACCAGACGCGTTTTGGAACTTCTCTCTCAGATACTATCCTGGCAAACTGGCCAGATTCACAAATCCCGACGACGGACGGCTTACTACGATTTCTTCTACTCCCTTCTGGACCTGATTGCGGTCAGATTCATCCAGGTCCTGCCGTAACTGTGTGTGTGTGTGTGTGTGTTCCATATCGACGAGTTTGGAACTACTTTGCTGCTGTCTGTGTGTTGATACATTTAGCGTTTTTGTTGTCGGTCTGTTGGTCCTCGATGCCTCATCTTTCTGCCATGTTGCCTGTCTGCTTGCCCGTCTGAATCTGTTTGGCTATGCTTTTCCTCTCTGTGTTTGTTTCTTCTTTGCCCATCTCCGTCTCCTATCTTCTAATTTTACATTTCACTTTGTTCCTTCCCATTCTCTCTCTCGGAGCTACATCATCACGACGACTTCTTGGCTCTCTGCATACATCCAGGAGATCCCTACCAGTCGTGTGACTGGGCCCCTTTGTTCCTTTCCATTATCTCTCGATGGAGCTACATTATTACGACGACATCGTGGCTCTCCGCCTACATCCAGGAGAGCCCTACCAGTAGTGTGACTGTGCCCTAAGCAAGTATGACAAGAAGCCAGCGTGCAGCAGAAAGAAGAAGAGAGGTGGAAGATAGGAAAAAAGAGAGAAAGCAAGAAAAAGAATGTGCGAAAAGAGAAGAGAGAAGGGATGGGGAAGAATAGAGGACGGGAACGGACGGCAAACCGGCGGATAGCCAGGAGAGAGAGAGAGAGAGAGAGAGAGAGAGAGAGAGAGAGAGAGAGAGAGACAATCATATTTCAATGTGTTCTGAGAGAGCTTATTCATCCTAAGTGTTCAAGCTTTTTGACTTGAATAATAATCTGTGAAGAGGACCTGGTCTTCTCACATGTCCAGATTATTGTTTCCAATGATCTTTGAGGGCCTCTTCTCACATGTCTTTTCCAACCTGCGCCCACTAACACTTTCCACGCAGAGCTCAACTCGCCACCGAATGTCTGTCCCTCCACAAGCAAAACTAATGAACCCAATCATCGGCATGACGGCGAATTGGAAACGCACAAAGAGAGAGAGAGAGAGAGAGAGAGAGAGAGAAAGAGAGAGAGAGGTAAGAACGGGGAGAGAGAGAGAAAGAGAGTGATGAAACGTCGTAGGTGAAAATGGGCACGGGGTGAGATAGAGAGATTCGGAACAGAATTTCTCCTCCTCTCCTCCTCTCCTCCTCTCCTCCTCTCCTCCTCTCGCCATGGCCCAGAAGTAAAGAGAAGACGAGAATTTAGACAGGTAGCAATATCTCCAATCGCCACAGGACAACGCACCGACATAACATGAAGGGCCGAGGAGGAGGTCAAGGGCGGAGGGACTATACGGGGAGGGGACGTAATGGTAAATCCCTCGTTTCTACGAGTCCTCCTCCTCTTCCTCCTCCTCTTCCTCCTCCTCACGCTCAACTTTCCTCTCCCTCTTCCATCAGATCTCCTCCTATATCTCCTGGCCCTCCTCCCCCCTCTCCCCCTCTTTCCAACTTTCCCCTCGTTCTCCTTCTCCAATTCTCCAAGACTTAGTAGATAGGAGCCACAGACGAATCATATTACAGATTGATTCGCTCATTTTGCGTAACGAGTATATCACGCTCAGAAGAAAAAAAGATGTGAGCGTCTCACAAAAATACTAAGTTAACGGACGGCAAGATGTCGTCAGCCAACTCTTCTTCTCTCCCCACTTCGCCCTTCTCCTCCCTTCTTCTTCTTCTTCTGCATGTATATGTCCTTATGATCCCTCCCTCCCTCCCTCCCTCCCTCCCTCCCTTCCTCATCCTCTTCTTTGTCTCCCTCCTCTCCTCTTCTCCTCCCTCCTTTTCTCCCTCCTTTTCTCCCTCCTTTTCTCTCGCCTTTTCTCTCTCCCTTTTTCTCTTTTCCTCCACCTTTTTTCATCGTCCCCTCCTCCTCTTATTCTCCTCCTCCTCATCCTCTCCTTCCCACTTTCCAACTCTTACTCTTGCTGCTCCTGTTTTGGAGCAGCGCATGCCACTTCTTATGAAAATTTGGAGAGAGGCTTTTTACACTTGCAACGCGAACACTGAGAGCATCATGCGAGCGCGTCGGCTCACATGATAAGGAGGGTCGGTTTTGGGCTTGCAGTGATGGTGATTTTGGGGGGGGGGGGGGGGGGGAGGGTTAACGCGTAAATCGCTCTTTTCTTTTCTTCTTTTTCGCAGTACTGTTCTTTATTTGCTCTTCGTTCTCCCCGTTCTCTTTCGCTCCACTTTCCAACTCATGGGTGGGCAAATCATGGCAGCCACCCTCTGGCTCACAGTTGTACCTCTCCCTCCGTGCCCTCCTCCTCCTCCTCCCTCCTCCTCCTCCTCCCTCCTCCTCCTCCTCCTCCTCCTCCTCCTCCTCCTCCTCTTTTTATCTTCCTGTTCCTATACCTCTTCCTCCTCGGGCCGGCGTCAACATGAGCACACATCCAAGAAAACGCGCACACAGAGGAAGAAGAGAAAAGAAAAAAGAAAAAAAAAATGAAGCTCAGAAATAAGCACCCCAACAGTCATAAACTCGAACAGACTAATTCGCGTGTCTAACGACCAACGCATCCCTCAATGTTCGGATGCAATAGACCCCTACCGTCTTCACCCGAATAGAAACGCCCGGTCATTATAGCCGTATTTGGTGCAATTTGCAGTCCAAATACCGCTATATAATGACCGGGCGTTCTGTTCGGGTGAAGACGGTAGTCCCCCTTCACCAGGAGGATCACCATCATCACGAGTCTCGTACAATTCTGAGACCATCCATCGCTAAACCTTACTTATCGTCGACCATCCATCGCTAAACCTTACTTATCGTCGACCATCCATCGCTAAACCTTACTTATCGTCGATGGTTACCGCAGCGAAGAGAAATTTATTTCCTCTCTCACTCCTTAAGAAGAAGAAGAGAGAGATTTTCTTTGACAAATTTTTGATACTAGGGTTGTTCGATCCGGAGTCAAAATCCACAACCAGACTGTCGAAGTACTTTTTTCCAGCTGGATGGGGATTACCTCTGCCAGGCTTGCTGTTATTAAACCCCCATCTTCGCCGGCGAAGTCGGAGACTGCTCAGCAGAGATATCTCACACGCACTTTTCCACCCCAGTGCCTCTCCTCGCCGAATTTTCCCGCTCCTCCTCGTTATCGACCTTCTCGTCTACTCTGCTCCTGGTCAGTGCTTTTCCTCCTCTTCCTTCGCCTACCATTCCCAGTTACTTGTTCCTCTTGGTCAACCTTGGAATTCGTCACGTGTCCTCGGGGACATCCGTGAAAATTGGAACGATTCAGAGAAAGGTAATTAGCAAATGGCCCCTGCGCAAGGATGACACGCATAAATAGGAATGCATACCGTCGCCAAGCTTGTCTCAGAAGGAGCAGATCTGTGTTCTCTCCCTCCCTCCCTCTCACTTTCTCCAGTGCGCCTCCACTTACTGTATACATCCCTTCCTTGTCATCGTGCTTGCACGACCAGAGGACATTCTCCCGTTCCTTCGTCTTTCTTCCTCCTCCTCCACCTTACTCCTTCCTTCTCCCTCGGTACCTCGTCATCACCTCTGCACCTGACAAAGATCGTCACTAACGTCTATGACGCAGATCTGACTGACGACTGCTGGCACCGTACCAATTCCATCAGCGGTACCATTTCCCTTTGTCCCACCCTGGCGGGGGACCAATCAAAAAACCTCCGTGCGCTGCGCGCCGATGGATTTTCTCAGCCCAAATGCGGTCACATGATGGTACCCGCCCGCGCC